ATTACAGGCATGAACCACCACACCCATCTTGTAATCCAACATTCTGCTAAGAGTCCTCATTTCGGCATAGTGCTCCACTGGCCAGCAGAGTGTTCCACTGCATCTTCTGCCAGTCGACTTCTAATATCCTGATTCCACAGACCTGGTTGAATAGCTTTCACTCACATCTTTGGGCATTTTTGTTATTGGTTTTTAGAAATAGCTACAGGATTTGGTTGGGTTTAAGAATAAAAGCAGGTTTTTTCAGTGTTGTTTTAACATTCTAATTATACATAATAGTGGATTTCCTTGTGATATGTTCATATATAATGTATTTAGATCATATTCACGCTCCATAACCCACTCTTGTCTCTCTCCAACGCCCAGGAACACCAATGTCCTTCCTCTTCCCAACTAGCACCTTTCTATTTTCATGTCTCACCCCATTAGGTGATCCATTGAGGTTATTTACAGGAGCATGACAACTGCTTTCTGATTTGAGACCTACTCTTGTAGGAGCGAACTCGAGTCTGGTGCTGTAAACCTGGTCAAGAGCTGTGGCTGGGCGGTCACAGGCCCTAGTGGCGAAACTACTGCTGTTTTGCTACATGGATGTGATGTGTTTGTCAAATTGCCTTCTAAATAACCACGCCCATGCCCACAGATTAGTGCTGCTGTCAGCTTTGGCCACAGAAGCTTCTTTTGGCAGTGATCAGGTTCACTGTAGAGGCTCCTAACTGGTCAAAATGTTTTGATAAAATATGTTTCCAATTATTTAATTGTCCTCCGTGGGGAAAATCAATCAGTCTTTAGGTCCAAGTGCAGACTACAATACTACCCATCTCTCCATATTTTTCAAAATATAAAATTTCTAATTTTAAAATTATACAAGTTATAATTATATGTTTTTTTACTAAGAGAACTTTGTCTAGGGGGTAAACAAGTAGGAGTTTAACTTTGCCTTTCCTTGACCTCTAACAAATCTGAAAGCTTTTTGTACTTCATATCTATAGAGAGATGTAGCCATAGATATGACATATGCATTTATCACTTTAAGTGGTGTCTTCAGAGAAGGAAGCAGAGGCTCAAAGAGGTTAAGTAACGCACTCAAAGTCACATAGCTTGTGTGAAGCAAATAAAAAGGCTGGGTTTTCATCTCCTAAACAAAATGGTATTGTTCTTCAGTTTTATTGAAGTGAGTAATAAAATCTATGGGGCAGAGTTCTGTTGAAGCCCAGAGTTCAAGGTCATCTAACAATAATAAGTTCCTTTCAGCCAAATTATCTTTGCAAAATATTGTTTGGAGAGTGATGTGACAGGTTAATGTCTTTCATTTGAAATTCCAAGATAACACAGGTCCAGAGCAAGATTGGAAGATGAAGACCAGCCTGTCTTAAAGGGCATCTGGTCTGCTGGTATGTCCTTTAGCTCCAACAGTCAGGAAGACTACTTACTGAGAAGCTGAAGGTCACTTTGAGCCTGTGACCTCCTCCATCACTGAAACATGAAACCATGCAACCATATCTGCCTTATAATGGAGAACCATGGCAAGCCCACCTAGTTCACAGGGGTTGGCCAGCCAAAACTTGGCCTTTGCTTTCTGAATACCTTTTCCTTTTTAATCCTAGTTGATACAGAAGGCCAGACTGTCAGTTGCTGCTTAACTTTGTGTGACAAAGTCAAAGTCTCCTTTCTTTAATCACTAACTGGAGAGTCCATGAGTCAACAATTTTTTTTTTTTTTTTTGGTCTTTTTGAGACAGGGTCTCCCTGTAGCCCCAGCTGACCTGGAACTCATTATGTAGACCAGGCTGGCCTCGAACTCACAGAGATCTGCCTGCCTCTGCCTCCCAAGTGCTGGGATTAAAGGCATGCGCCACCATGCCCAGCTCATGTCAACATTTTTTTAAAAAGGAAAAAAATAACAATAAGGGAAATCCCAGTTTCTTAGAAGAAAGGAAAAGGAGTCATATTCACAAAATGTAATCAACAAAAATTAGCCAGAGGTTTCTTTGAATGAAGAAAGATTTAAGAATAAAAGTGAGATGTTCACATTTATTGCAAGAAAAACCAACCCCAGCACTTCTTCCTGCTTGACTTCAGACTCTTAGCTCAGAAAAGGGAACTTTGTCTTCCAGGCATGGGTATCTCCATTTCAATGACACTAATAGGGGAATGGGCTCTCAACTCTTGTCCCATCTGACATATTTTTCTGTCTATAAGTAGCACAAGATAAGGTGAAAGATGGAGAGAGAGAGAGAGAGAGAGAGAGAGAGAGAGAGAGATCAGTGCTAGAGATCTCCAACTCCTCTCTCCCCAGAGTAGTGCTTTCCAGCCCCATTTCTTGGCTCAGGCTGAGAAATCCCATAGTACAAGATGCCAGCCACAGTGACAGAGAATTCAGGAATTCACCCCCTGTTCCCATAAAATGTATTCAGTGTTGGCTTGAGTATGGCACATAAGGAAACCAAAATGTCTCCTGCATGTGGACAGATGGATCCTTAAAGACCTTGTGTCAAGCAAAGTAACTCATGAAAAACTTCACCGCCATCACCATTCTGTGTGTGCTCTTCATACAGGAGCAGTTAGTAAATGCACAAAATATGGAATCAGGCCTCTCAGTCCAATCCCACCTTCTCCTCCTCCTCTTTCCCTTCCTCCTCCTCTTCCTCCTTTCCCCCTCCTCCTGACACAGGGAACTTGTGCAAGTTTCTTAATTTCCTTGTGCCTCAGTTCGCCATCTGCAAGATTAAGATGAGACACAACCTCTTGTCTGATTCTCACAACAGCCCTCTGAGGTAACAAGAGGGTCTGCCTCCAGTTGAGATGACCAAATGTGTATAGAGTATGTAGAACAGTGGGTAGGCGTGTGCATTAGTGCTCTCTGCATGTTTGTTTTTCTTACTACCAACTAAAGTACAGCTGCATACAGCAGCAGCACTCATTGGTCCACTGGCTTTGAACTTTTGAGATTCTTGACTCTTTTAGTCTAGGAGATTTTTATTAGCTCAAAATGGCAGATATAGACAAGGACTGAGAAGGCTAGATGAGCTATCTCATTCAACTTTTCTAGTGTACAGTTTGAATGTGTATAACAAGAGTGGTCATGAAATGAGCACACACTATTTGGGCTTAAAAAACTATAACAGGAGACTTTAGAGTTCTAAAAGGCAGTCACTGGTGATTAATACACAAAGGCTCAGGGGCTTGGTGGATCAGCAGCAGTGCAGGTTGTGTTCACCACAGGTAGCCCACAGGTCACAGGGAGTTACAGGATGTCCTTCTAGAATGAAGCCAAATCATGTGAGTATTGACATCTGTGTGCCAAACTTTGCTCCAGGCCTGTCACACACTACCACATTCAACTTTCACAGCACCTCAGAAGGTAAAGATATGAGCACCCACGTCACAGAGGAAGAAGCTGAAACAGATGCAATTAAGGAACTGGTCCAAGGCCATCTAACCAATAAGGGGCGGTGCTTGGATTTAAACTAAATACACCCTCCTCCTCAGAATGCAAAGGTAGACAAAGTCCCTCTCAGATCCTTCCCTTACTTTCTATACACAGGACTCCTTAGCTTTATAAATACAGTGGCCCACAGCCATGGTGACTGGGGCTCTGTGAAGGCAGATATATCAAACCTACAGAAAACTAAGAAGGGATGACTCAAATGTGAAGCAATACTATGTAACCTGAGCAGACTGCCCTGGGTCTTTTTTTCTAAGCACATGGTTCTGTTTTATAGGTTGATTTTTATATACAGATAATCAAATTACAGATATAGTTCATCTTTTTTTTTTTACCCCTTGGTTTTAAAGGAATTCCTAACTTTCCTTTCAGAGACGGCATACTGCTGCATGAGGTGCACGTGCTGCATAATGAAGTTATCATTCCTTCCACACTGGACACTTGAGTTTGTCCAGCTTTTTTACTGTAGAGTGAATTTATTTTATTTAATTTCTTTTTGAGTTTTCAGAATTGTATGTGTTTATGTACCAGATCTCCTGCAACTGGAGTTACAGACAGTTGTTAGCTGCTGTGTGGGTGCTGGGAACCAAGACCCAACCTCTGGAAAACCAGAAACTGCTCTTAACCGATGAGCCATTTCTCCCGCCCTGTGAATCTTTTTCTTGACAGTTTGTCCTCTCCTGACATTTTTTCCCCCAGATCTTCCCAAGTACCAATGATCTTGGGTTCCCCTTCTCCTTCCTTCCTTTACCTCCTAGACTCATTGACACTAGAATGTACATAGTTAATAAGCTTAATTCATTAAGCCAAAGGAAAAAGTCTCTAACTGGGGGGGGGGGTTCTAGTTATTAGTAATCTGAACTATGAGAGTCCTCTGACACTCAACTAGAAAGTAGACTTTGTAACACCCCAAAGCTATAGGGCTCATTTAATTTTAGGGGGGAAAAAACACAATTCAGAGCTGCAGAGGTGGTGATGTGCTGAGGGTGAGGGAAGACCTTAAGTGAGGGTGAACGCAGAATGAAAAATTCAGTCGTCACAGTGCGTTTGGCCCCTCCAACCCGGATTCTTCAACTATATCCTATAAGGTGTTTAGCTTTAGGGATGCGTCTGCCCACCTTCCCACACTAGCTGGGCCTGTTTCCCAGTCCCAGTTACCAAGCGGCAGTCTCAGAGCCAGCCCCTATCAGCATAACTGTAAAGTTGTGGGAGGATGACCATCCCCACGCGTAGGGAGCACTGCCAAGCTTGTGTCCTGGCTGATCCTTTCGGAGCCTCGCCTGCCGCAACTCAAAGAGTGAATAATCCTGCGGGGAAATTAGAGCTCTGTGGAAAAGTTCCCTACGCCTGTTTTGAAGTCGCACTGTGTGTCCCTTCTTCCAGGGGCTCCGGGCCCGAGACCCAAGACTGAACTCCTTTTGTAACTCGGGATTCAATCCCTGGGCTTCCGGCCGGGGCTGCACGTCTGGTCCCAGGGGAGGATGGAGGGGCGGGACCGGGGGTGGGGTGGGTGAGGCTCCGCCTGTGCGAAACCTCCACGCTGAGCCCAGCAGCACCCGATCTCCCACGCTGCCCAAAGGGACCCGTCGCTCACCCACGCTGAGCCCAGCAGCACCCGATCTCTCCACGACGCCCGAGGGGACTTGATCGTCCCACGCCCCGCCGGGCCGCTCCGCCCTCGCCCTCGCTGGTTGGCCGGGTCGCTGCAGCTGGCGGCGGCGGGAGGAGCCCGGCGTGCCAGCCACGCAAAACCACGGCGTTCGCTGGGCGGCGGGCGCGGCGCGCGGTCCCCGGCGGAGGTGACAGCGCTGACAGCTGCCGGTGCGCTCGGTCCCCGCGGCGCCCCGCATCCCGCATCCCGCATCCCGCATCCCGCCTCCGCCGCGCTCTCCGCTTCCCCACGAGCCCGGGCGCCCGCCATGGGGAAGCCGGCGAGCTCGGGATGCGACTGGCGGCGCTTCCTGCGGAATCACTGGCTGCTGCTCTCCACCGTGGCTGCGGTGGTGCTAGGTAAGCCGGGCAGGGCGAGGCGCGCTGCCGGCGCCAGGCCGCGTGCGGGGCGGGGTGGGCTCGGTATGACGCGCGCTTCCCGGGTCCCTCGCGTCCCCTCGGCGTGGGCCTCGGTCCCTACGCTCCGGATGTCCCCAAGCTCTCTGATTGCACGCGGGGCACAAAGCTCCTAAGAGACTCGCTTTCCAGTGCTCCGCGAGCTGCTGTCCTTTCCCCAAAATGGTCAGAGGGGTTTGGAAGGTGGACCCGGGGGCCTTTAAAAACAAGCATGGTTTAATTTGATCCTCAGTCTTATCGGTTCCGTCATACACCACCTCCACGGTGGCGGGTCAGAGGTTGTATGAATTACAGTTCTCAGTCTCAGATTGGAAGAGGCACCTAGGCCTGGGGATGTCTGGGGAGATGAAGACCCTCTCCCTGGTACGGGCATGGAAAGGTGTTTTCCTATGGAGTTCCTTCTTACAGCCAGATTCATGCCTGAATTCAAGTGGTGCAGCTGTGGCCTGTGGGAGGCCACAGGGGCTACAGCTAAGAAAATTCAGTCTCCTTCTTTCTCCCTGGTCGTTTTTGTTTTCAAGCAAGCGTGTATTTCAGTGATCCACCTCTGACACGTCGCCGGGCTAGGGCTAGGTGGATATCTGAGCCATTGCTCAGCGGTTTAGGTTACTCATATATTGGTGAGGTTGTCTAAGTGGAGCTTGATGATGAACTTCTTGGTGGTGGGAGCCCTGTGGATGTCCTTATCCTGGAGTTTGCGCAGGTGCTGCTGCCCTGCAGGTGAGGACAGGTGCACCCTGGGGGAAAGTGGATTCCTTGGAAGGGTCCATCCTTTGGAAACTGCAGAAGCATTCGGGTCTGCTGGAAAGGAGATAAGGGCCCTTTCTCCTTCTCGCCTTTTTCTCCTTGCTCTCTAGCTTGAGTCTCAGAACGTCTGGTATTGCCTTCTCTGCTGCAAAGCCAAATGGAGAATATATTTATTTATTAAAAATAAAATGCCTTTAGAAGTTAATGGGATCCTCTTGGAGTCAGGTCAGTTCCTTCAGAACCTTACCAAAAGAAAAGCCAGGTTTCTAGTAAATAAATAACATCCTAGAATTGCCTTAATAGAGGACATTTGTAGGAAGGAGGAAAGGAGGGAAAGAGAAGCAAGTGTTGACACCCCCCCACCTCCGTCCTCTGGAAGTGGGAAGTGCCTAGTGGTTTGGGACATTTTTAGCCTTACCACATTTAAATAACAGGCCCTACCTACCTAGAGAGTGGTTGGATGTGAGGACATGGACTAGTTTGTTTTCCCAGGATTAGCACAGAATTTATTTATTTATTTGTTGTTGAGGGGGCTGTCTTTTGGAGACTCCCGGTAGCTGTAGCCCTAGCTGGCCTGGAACTTGCTATGTAGACCAGATTGGCCCTGAACTCGGAGATCCACCTACCTCAGCCTCCAGAGTGCTGGGATTAAAGGCCAGTGCTAGCATGCCCCGGGCCAGAATTTATTCTTGAATTTCTTCAGAAAGCCTTGAGGGTAACTGAGTCTAGTGTCTCCTTCCCCCTTCCCTATGTCTTTTGCCCTGGGCACTCCAGAGATCCTGCTTGGTCACCAAGTGTTTCACACCAGCAGTTGGTTAGCATGATTGTTGGTGCCCCAGAACTGGCATACTAACTCATCAGAGGCTGCTGTGGAAAGAATGTTGAGCAGTTGCTAGCTAGCCTTTGGACCAGTTGCATAAGCAGCATCTTCAGGCCAATAAAGGTTTCCTGTCAATTTTGTAGGCAGGTCTGTGGTCTCAGATGGGCCAGTTTGTACAGCTTTAATGGCAGTGAACCCCAGGAACTTGATTTTAGTATTGTAACAATGCAGGAAATATACTATTTAAAATTGCAGGTGCCCAGCTGAGGTCTTAAGGGACATTTGCTCCTCCTGAGGACTGGAGGGTAGTCTCTGGCATGTTGCTTGGAACACCTCCAGTGCAGCCAACCTGGCCCTTCCTAGGATCCTCCTCTTTGCCACTCAGAGCACCCTGGGTCTGAGCGAAAACTCACACCTCACTGTTTAGTCTACACTGGCTCACCTGTTTAACAAGCAAGAAAATCCTAGCCACTTGTAACTGGCCCAGAGTATCTATTAAATGCCCGTTTTTATAGGTGATAGTGAGTTTTTCTACAACTATCATAATTGATCCAGTAAAATCCAGAACTATTGCAAAGCTTCCTTTTTGGATTTCTTGGCATGTGAAACTTAAAGAAAAAAAAAGATGCTAAATGCATTAAGTGCTTGGTAAAATCTTCTGATTACAGCATCTGAAATATTTGATCTGTGCTGTAAGCTAGCATCAGTGACTATGTAAAAAATTTCATCATTAAAATGAAGGGCAAAGTTTGTTTGTTTGTTTGTTTGTTTGTTTGTTTATTATCCCAGCACTCTGGACTTAGACTCAGGAAGTTCAAGGTCAATGTCAGCTACACAGTGAGACTCTGTTTCAAAAAAAATAAATTTAATGAGCCTGCTTAAAGTCTTCGATTTTCCAAAATATAGCTTGTGAGGGAAGACCACCTTCATTTGGTATGTGGAAATCAACTTGTTTTTCATACCCAAGATGCTTTGAGCTAAATATTTACCAAATTCTTATTTACAAGCTGGAGGGATTAAATAGGTGTCTATCTTTACTATCTTGATAATTTCCGTGAAACCCTACAAGATTCTGCAAATACTATTTTAACCTGTAAGGCTTTTTCTACAGAATCATCTCTTCTAGGCTTCTGGGTGTTTCTGTGGCACAGTAGAATAAGCACAGAGCCTACAGTCAGGAGCTCTGCACTTGTGCCCTGAATTCTACCTGGCTTTGCCATCTAAACACATTGCTTATTCTTTAGGGCCCTCAGTTCCCTCATCTGGAAAACAGGAATATCTTCTTTTGTCTTTTTTTTTTTTTGGTCTTTTTGAGACAGGGTCTCCCTGTAGCCCCAGCTGGCCTGGAACTCACTATGTAGACCAGACTGGCCTTGAACTCACAGAGATCCACCTGCCTCTGCCTCCAAGGTGCTGGAATCAAAGGTGTGCACTACCACACAGGTGAAAACAGGAATATCTGTTACTGGGTTGATCAAGATAGTGTGGAAATACCCAATTTTATGCCTGGCATACCAGTAAATGTTGCTTCAAGGAAAAACTAAGTGATTTAAATATGGGAAAATTAACGTTTTCTTTTGAACTCACATCTTTGTCCAGTCTATAATTTGAAGTTCATAATGATTCAAGTGTTTTGATGGAGTATTCTGTCAAAACCATCACCAGCCTCTGTAGCATTATTCATTTATTGAAAAAGGGAAATAGAAATAGTCATTTTATTTTATACCCTATAGACTAATTCTTAATTTGCGTAACAGGCCGAGATTCTGTGGGAAGAACTTTTATGCTCTAAGTGGGAATTCTGTCTAAGCAGAATTTCTGAGTTTGAGAAATCTGTCACCAATGATAGGACTGCTTGGAGTATCCTGCTTGTGACAGAAAGCCTCAGCTCCCCTCCAGGTTGTGTGTTAGCTCAGTCATTGGTGAAATCTGCAGTGCTGAGCTTGAGGGACCTTCAGCTGCTTGTGCCACAGAGCCCACAAGCTCATCTACTGGAAAGCAGTTCTTCTGGCATACTAGGAAAGCAGTCATTGGTAGACTCGGTTCTGTTCTCTAAACTCTGACCTGATTCTTCTAAGTTCTTAGTAACATCCTTACCCAACCTTGTCTCCAGCCCTGGAATGCCTCTGGAGTATGCCTGGCAGTGCTCATTTGGACTTGGTCTATGTTTTCTCTTGTTCTGTTTTCTCATGATTCTCTGATGTCCTTGAGGACAGTCAGAGCCGTGGCCCATATCGTTCCACACCCAGTTTTTCACCTCCCTGGCCTTAGTACAGCTATGTTCAGAAATGTATCTGTCATCGCCAACACTTATGTCACTCCTTCACTCAGCAAATAGGATTCATGCCCACTGTATGTCAATGGATTGTCCCAGAGCCAGGTCACAGCAGGGAGCAAAACTCCCTGCCCTCGTGGAACTTAGGTTCCAGGGAAGGGGCAGAAAGTAAATGAAATAGGAAAAATATAGCATAGAAGAGTTCAGATGGGACTAGTGCTCTGGGGAGGGGTCTAGGGAAGGCAGGGGTGAAATAGGTAATTTAAAATAGGGTGACAGGGCTGGAGAGATGGCTCAGTGGTTAAGAGGACTGGCTGCTTTTGCAGAAGACTTCGCTTCCCAGCACAGCTTTCTGTAATTCCAGTTCCAGGGGAATTTGACGCCCTCTTCTGACCTCCACAGGCGTTGCATGACATGGGTGCATTTTCATGCAGACAGTACACTCATACACATAAAATAAAAATAATAAAATTTTAAAAAATAAAATAAAGTAGGGTGACAGGAAAGGCCATACTGAGACTAAGAAGGTGACAACTGGGTCAAGACTGGAAATTGCGAAGACGTGCAGATCCCTGGATAAACAGCAGGGAAGGGAATGAGGATAGGAAATGAGGTGGAGGTGAGAAGGGGTCAGGACAACAGGGTAGGGTCAGGCTCATTTCCAGGCAGGGAGAGAGGGGGCTCAGCAAGGGAGCATGGCCGGAGAGTGGAACAGAAAGGGAGGCCACACCAGGTGTTCATTGAGCTGACCCACTAAGCCTGGTAGGATCTAGTCAGAGGGAAAAGTAACTGTCTCAGGCAGGATAGGGAGTCCCGAAGAGAAGCATGGTGTGCTGCGTGTGGTTTTGCTGAGGTGTGAGGTGGAGGAGCCTAGGGAACCCTGGGATGAAGACAGGCAGCAAGCAGTGACAAGTTCATCTGGAGACAGCTTGTGAGTGGAGTATCAAGTAGAGAACACAACCAACGGGCACAGGAAGAGGAAGCAGAAGCTTTGGGGAAAAATAAACCCATTTAGCGAGAACAGGGAAAAGACCAAATGCAGAGCCCTGAACACCCAGAGCTACAAGTGTTCAGAGAGGGCCTACAGACCACCAGAAATTA